GACACCCCACTGCACCCACAGCCAGCTTCCCTGTCTACAAGCACCCTCCCTGAAAAGGGATTTCCAACGGAGAGCCAGAGAGTCCAAGGAGGTGGAGGAGCCACAGTGGTGGGATCTGAGGGACAGGAGGAGGTGGAGGAGCAGATGTGTCCCATGGGTCCTCCTAGGCATCGTGAAGATTGCCATCGCTCAGCAGCACCTTCTCGCCAGGTTTGAAGGCTGGCATCCCAAGGTAGGGACAGTTGGCGCAGCGGAAAGCATCRCCCAGGTAGCACTGTCAGGAGAGAACAGGCAATCACGCAGGGGAACCCAAGAGCCAGCTCACCCCAGAGATGCGGGCCAGGAGGAGGGACTGGGTGCATCTGCAGGTCCAGCTGGGACCCAAATACTAGTAAGTTTTAAGATCTCTAGTTGCATGAAAAATAATAGCTAAGTTAAGTACCCTTTCACAGGTCATGGCTATAGTTTTTTTTTTTTTTTTGTACTAGGATTGAACACAGGGGTGCTCAACCACTGAGCCATATCCCCAGACATTTTTATTTTTTATTTTGAGAGAGGATCTTGCTAAATTGTTTAGGGACTCTCTAAGTTGCTGAGGTTGGCTCTGAATTTACGATTCTCCTACCTCAGCCTCCTGAGTCGCTGGGATTACAGGTGTGCGCCACCAGGCCCAGCCACATGTCTATGTTCTAAGCAGTTCAAGTCTTAGCCAAGCTCAGCCTTAGGGCTGAACAACATCAAGACACTCTGAGTGGACTTGTAGAAAGAAAGGGGCCAAACCGGGCCTGGAGGTATACACCTATAACCCCACTGACTTGGGAAGCTGAGGCAGAAAGATCAAAAAYTAGAAGTCAGCCCCAGCAACTTAGTAAGACCTTATCTCAAATTTAAATAAATAAGTAAATAGAACTAAGGATGCCAAGTAAGAAGTGACCTGAGTCCTCCCCATGTGTGAGCATGTAGGGAGATAGCCTCTTCCCACAACCACCCAACACGCACGTCTTTCCATGCTGGCCCAGTCCTAGAGCACTTGACAGGTGATCCTTTAGAGGTGGAGCCAGTCTGTGCTTAGTTTAGGGTGATGCCTGATACCACTGGGGGTTCTGCAAATGCTGAGTAAGGATCCCGATATTTACGTTTCCACAGGCTGACTTGGGCTGGGCATTCTTCTGTTCCTGTAACTTCTCTTTTTCTAGTTCTTCTGCAAGGCCACAGGTGCTAGGGGAAAACAGTTGCTGATGAATGAGATATGCCACCATCCAGGAAGTCCAAATCCACAACAGCACCAAAATGTGCTCAAAGACTTTCCTCATTACCAGGGTTTTGACTCAAATGCCTGCAAGGTCAGGCAGACAGCAGCCACAGGCAGGGGGCTGCTGGGAAGCAGGAGGTGGGTGGGGTGTGCTGGCGAGCACCTGCTGCAGAGGGCGCCACTGCTCAGCCTGCCCATCACAGTGCAAAGCAGATCCAAGAGGGGAAAAGTCTGGAGTTCTACTTCACTCTTAAGTGACAGCAACTTGCACACTTAAAGCAAAACATCACTGACAATTCAAAAAGCCKGCAGCCAACAGTCCAAGAGTTTCACCACCGTTCTATTCACTTGTAAAACACCAACACCAMGGCTTGCAGGTTCAGAAGATGCACTGAAGCAGGTACCCCAGTTTCACTCTCCTTCCGACCCCACCAAGATTCGGCAAAGACTAGAGCCACAACGACAGAAAACTGGAAAGGAGACAACTGTGATGCAGCTGGAAACCAAAGCAGAGAGGAAGAGGGCACTGCCGTGGCAGATCTGGCACTGCTCATCAGAGCCAGGGGTGGGGGTGGTGCCAAGAAGATCCTCCTGAGAGGTTAAAAGGGGAAAGGCTCAAAGATAAAGAGTTTGGATTGTTCCCCCAAAGGCCTGCCTGGCTTCCCTTCATAAAATTCACCTACAGGGGCTGGGGCTCAGTGGTAGAGCACTTGTCTGGCACGTGTGCGGTACTGGGTTCAATCCTCAGCACCATGAAGAAATAAATAAATAAAGATACTGTACCAACTACAATATATACAAAATCCACCTACAGGCTCAGAGCAGCCAGCTAGCTTTTGCCCACCATTTTTTTTWAAATATTTTTTTAGTTGTAAATGGACACAATCTCTTTATTTATTTATCTTTTTACGTGGTGCTGATGTTCAAACCCACTGCCCCACACATGCAAGGCAAGTGCTCAACCGCTGAGCCACAAACCCAGCCCCCTTGCCTGTCACTCTTAACCATGAAAAACCCAGGGATATTTTATCAGAATCATCTGAAGAAAGAAGAAAACAAAACTAAATAAGAAAATAATTTTCAGCCCACATTTCTATACCCAAATTACCACTCATCCAAGAGTAGGAAAAAGACATTTTCATACATACAAAGTCATAAGCAAAACTTACCTTCTAAGTAGGATTTCAAAAAGTACTACAGAAGAATTCACTCCACTGACACATATGTGCACGCGCGCGCACACACACACACACACACACACAAAAAACAAAAACAAAAAAGAGGAAAGACAGGAGCAGGAGGGACTCCTCAGGACAGTGAAGTGGGAGGCCAGGATGTCAGCTCTGTGACAGTCACATGAAGACAGACACGCCGAAGGCTGCMGTCCCCATGCTCCCTGCTACCATCACAGCGTTATGTGAATCTGAGGCCAGGCAGGCCAGCCGGATTTCTGTCCCTGGCTTACTTCAAACATGGGCTGGTAACATTTAACTCCCTCCCACCCCGCCACACACACACTCTGAGGCCCGGAACCTCTGAGGACACTCACCTCTGCTTTGACCCACTCCCAAAAGTAGAGCGTGGGCTGCAGCAAGCTTGCAGCAGCCTCCCCACCCCCATTATTAACTGCACCTCCTGAACCCTGCCCAAGGCTCACCACACTGTGGCCTCGGTTCCCTTCTATTCTCTCAGGACTCTTCCTCACTTCCAGAGGGGCTCTTCCAGATTTTTAAAGAGGCTGACACCAAATAATCCATGACCCAAGACCCTGTTCAGTTGACCTTCCCGGGGGGCCTCCATGTCATGCTCAATACTGACCTGTCCTTTACAGTCAGAGTGGGCTTTCTACTCAGTTCTTTACAACAATATCACATGGAGATTCACACATAGGCGGTCAAATATCAAAACCCCCACATGCCGGGGGGCTGGGGTTACAGCTCAGTGGCAAAGCATTTGCCTAGCATGTGTGAGGCACTGGGTTCGATCCTTAGCACCACATAAAAATAAAACAAATAAAGGCACGCCACCCATCTACAACTACAAAACAACAACAACAAAACCAAAAACCAGATGGGTAAATATGATCAAAGTGTTATATGCACATATGCCACAATGAAACCCATTGTTSTATACAATTAATTATGCCCTAATTAAAAAGTAGAAATGATTAACACAAACTCAGGAGAATAGTAACCTCTTGTGGGAAAGAAGATGCAGCTGAGGTAACAGTAAACATTTCTCTTCCTTAAACTGGGTGATCAATACATGGGTGTTCATTATTCTTTAAAATGCACCTATTTAATACATGCCTTATACAATATGCATTTCACAGTAAGCATGTTTTAAACAGTATGACACTGTGACAACTTATTCTAGCACTTACCAGTTCTTACAAGCCTTCCTTTTTTTTCTTTCCCCACAAGAAGCAGCCCGTAGGGAAGCAGGATCTGGTTTTTTCAAATCTTCTGGATCCAGTAGCTCATCTGAGTCAATGAGATCCTGGAATGTTCAAAGCAATTAGTGATACCGACATGGTCTCTCTAATAAAAAGCTGAAGTGATCACAGGCCGTTGAGAGCAAATGTACACTGTTCACCCTGTCCTCGGGTTGGTCGTCATGCTCAACCAGACCACACACTCAAGAGGCCAACTGTTCACAACAATGCACCAGAATGTAAGGGAATTGGGAACTAATTACATGAGAAATTCCTGCAACACTACCAGCAATGTGTAGAGAATATGTGCACTTGTAGGAAGGGTGGAAGCAGGCAGGGCAGAGAGAAGGGTGACCCTTAGTCCAGTGTAGGAAGARCCACGGGAAAAAGGGAGTGAAATATTTTCCACATAAGTCCAAAGTCAAATGATTACACATGTATTGTGTAACTCTTTGTAAACAAGCACACAGTGGGTCTGTAAGTTCTATGAAGGCGTGAACTAGGACCCATGCTATCCATTACTTTAACTTTAATCATGGAAGCACAGAAATAAAGAACTTTATTATAGACAGAGCTGATCAACGTTTGCAAGGACTGTTTTTGGTGTTATTTTTTTTGGTACTGGGGACTGAGCCCAGGGGTGCCCTACCACTGAGCTATATCCCTTGTCCTTTTGATTTTGAGATATGATCTCAAGTTGTTGAGGCTGGTCTTGCAGCCTCCTGCCTAATCTCCTGAGTAGCTGGGATTACAGACATGCAGCAGCAAAGCCAGCTTAAGGTATTGCTTTTAAGACAGTGAACATACAGTGACTTGTCCAAAAGGGCCAAAAAAAAACATTTTAGCTCACAAACTCTTTTTTTGGTTTACACATGTTCACATAAGTGTATGATGTATCACATAAATGAGAATAAGAAAATCTGTGGGGAAAAGAGATAGTAAAAAATAATTTAAAATGCCACCAACAGGGAGTGCCCTTGAAATCAAAGACTCCAGTGACAGGCACAACCACAATGCTGGATTTTAAACACAKTCATACCTACAGGTCCAGAATGGTCACTCCAAACTATAATTGTTTACACCCAAAGTGGTGCCTGGAAGGAGGAGGCCAAGTGACCATAGTGCCAACTCACCATGCTCTCGTCCTCCATGTCATTGGCTGAGAGGGTCCAGAGCTTGGCAGTGGCAGGGTCCACAGCAGGTTTCACTGAATCCAACCAATAAAAKAAAAAGAGTTCCATAAACAGCAACAAACTACTCGTAGATGTAAGCACTTCCTTTTTTTGGGTGAGGACGGGGGCAGGGGACCAGGGATTGAACTCAGGGGCACTCGACCACTGAGCCGCACACCCAGCCCTATTTTGTATTTTATTTAGAGACAAGGCCTCACTAAGTTGCTAAGACTGGCCTTCAACTTGTGCTCCACCTGCCTCAGGCTCCTGAGTCACTGGGATTACAGGCATGTGCCACTGTACCTGGCCGCTCAAGTGCTTTCTATGGACTCTGTAGAGAACTACTGAACTCTTCTGAGAAGAGCTGAGTTTGGGTCCAGCTTGACCACTTACACAAGAGGCATGACCTTGGAAGCCATTTGTTTAGCACGTCCTTTGTTCCAGACACTACAACAACACTTTATATACATCAACTCAATTTTGCTCACAACCTTATGAGGTTTTTGTCATCCTAATTTTATACCTATGAGAACAGATTTAGACTTAGGCCTGCTATATGAGGTCACAAATACATATACATTGCTTCTCTTTTTTATCTTGGTTCCCACCCCTATAACATGGAGCTAAACCGAGTTTCCTCTACCTATTTTGGGAATTAAATGAGAAATCTGTCAGACTTCATAAACAGCAAAACCTAACCTCACCTAAACCTGCTATTTAAGAAAATATGCACTAGAGCTATTGGTGGCAAGGTATCACAGTTGGCAGACACCCCTCACACCTCCTGATTCTCTGTCTAGGTCAGAAGAAGGCAAGGAAGGGCTGAGAGGGATAAGGCCTGGGACTGAGTGGGGGAAAATCTCAGAAAGGCTTTTAGGGCAAGCGCACTCCCCAGGGATTGATGTTACAACGAGGTGCTCAGACTTTCCATCGTCTAATTGTGCYCACCCATTAGAACTATGAATCCAAAAGTCAGATTCCAAAGGATTTCCTAAGATTTAGACTAGACAGTCGAAAGTGTGCTACACGGATGTGCCAGTAAATACTGATCAAATTTTGTATTTCTCATAGCTGGGACAGAAACTCAGACATTGAAAATAATGAAAGGGCTGGGTATGGTGACACATGCCAGCAACTTGGGAARCTGAGGCAGGAAGATTACAAATTTAAGGCCAGCCTCAGCAATTTGGCAAAACACTCAGCAACTTAGAGCCTCTTTCAAAATAAAAAAAGGGCTGAGATTGCAGCTCAGCGGTAAAGCACCCCTGGGTTCAATCCCCAGCACCCAAAAAAAAAGATATTATAGGACCCTCAAAGTTAGAAAAGCTGACTTAATAGGCATACAAAAAAAGCTATGGGAACAGAAACTGGGTATCATATCTCTATTGCTATTGCCATGAGGAGAAATAGCATACCCCATATCTCTGGGGCCTAAAAAGACTTCACTGACGAGCTATGTGACTCCAGCCTCCAGAATGAGGAAGCCTCAATGTCCTGTGCAGAAGGGGCTGAGATAGACAATATTTATGTATTATATCAGGTCTGTATCCTGATACACCCAGAATAGAAATATTTGAGCATTCTGTGCTCTGGAAATGATAGAAATTAAAGGAATAATCTTCTAAAAATATTTAGATCACTCACCCAATTTCTAACATGTTTCCCTGGCCCAGTCACACAGAAGAATGTCCCCAGGCCAGACTTACCCAAAGGAGACTTTTTGGTGGTAGAAAGTTTAAGCTGACTGGAAGAACCCACTTCAAAATTTGGTTTTTTGCCTGTGATCTGAACAGAGAACAGGCTCTCACTGTTGCAGCCCAGATGTTCCTGGATAGASTGCTTCTCCTCAGGGCTCAAGGACTCCCGCTGCAGCTGGAATTCAAGATATCAAAGGGATTAGTCCACACACTTTCTATCAAACGTTTTACTATGTTCATCCACACAGGGTTAAACACTCATCCTGTGTATTAAGTACATAATAGCAGAAGGGAACATCAATCTTTTTTTTTGGTACTAAGAACTGAATCCAGAGGCTTTTAACCACTGAGCCACATTCCTAGACCTTTTTACTTATTTTTTATTTTGAGACTTGGTCTAAGTTGCTTAGGGCCTCAATAAGCTGATGCGGCTTACCTAGAACTTGTGATCCTCCTGCCTCAGCCTCTTGAGTGGTGGGGATTACAGGCATGGCCCACTATGCCTAGCCTAATGTCACTTTTCATGACACATTCAGGTTCACTGATCAGAACCCTAAACTATAGTTTTGTTGGCATGTTTGCTTTGAGAGTCTACCTTTGGAAAGGTAAAGTACTTATGAAAATTAGGTTCAAGGCATTATGCTAGTCTTTGTGCTTAATAATTATGATTACAAAGATGAATTATCAAGAGCTTTTAATGTTTTGAACAACCAATAAAAAATAAATAAAAATTTAAAAAAAAAGATGAATTAGACACGGTCCTGCTGAATAACAGAGAAGCCTATTCACAGTGAAGATAGTAGAAATTTATATCCTAAAAGAGAAAGGGGAGGGCTGGGGTGTAGCTCAGTGGTAGAGCACCTGCCTCACACATGTGAGGCACTGGGTTCGATCCTCAGCAACACATAAAAATAAATAAATAAAGATATTGTGTCCATCTACAACTAAAAAAAAAATATTAAAAAAAAAAAAGAAGAAAAGAGGAAAGGAATCCTTTCTATATTCCTTGAGAAGTAGAGCAGATAGTAAAGGTAGGAAAAAACGGGCCAGGGTGCCAGCTCTAGGTCCACTAATTTTTGAATGGTTAAATCATAGTCCATCTGTGGCATGGAGTACTGTTACATCATTCACAAAAATAAGGGAAAACATACTAAGGTGAATAAGTGTCAAACATATTTAAAGATAGGAAAAATATAGTGACTAAACTACACTGACATACATCATTTACATAAAAAAGAAGTTTATGCATATGATAGTAAGTACAAAAGAGAAATTCTGAACAGATGCACAAAATGCTTCCTCTSAGGAGGGAGGGAGTGTGAGCAATGACTGGTATTTCACTTTCAAATTCTATATTTTTCAGTATAAACTGAATCTTTATGAAGATTCATTATTTTAAAATCAAACACGGAAAATCTTAAAAGGAAAAATAAGCAAGGATGGTATAAACAATCTAAGGCCTATAAGAAATCAGCTATAAGCTAGCACAGGATAACATTTACCTCTCCCACACCCAAGACAATGTCGGCATCAGAGAGGAGCGTGGAAATATAAACACCCCTGCTGCACAGGAACATCTCTGCTGAGTGGTCTCAAACATGATATTCCCTCAACTCTTACCAGCCTGACAGAGTGGTGGCAGGCTGTCTAGAAGACAGCGTTTCACCCAGGCCTAGGATTTGTGTCCACTGACAGATGGATCCGAAGCAGCAGGGCACCTTCTCTCCTCACCACACTGCTACCACCACCAAATAGTTCCTGGGCGACCAGAACAAGTGGTCTCCATGGGTCCTGCTGAGTCTCTTCAAAGAGCTCTGATGCCTGCAGTTTCTCCTTTAGGCAGCACATATCTCCACTCATGGAAAGGCTGAACTCATTTCCTCGTTCCCTGCAATACTGACCCCTCCCCTCCCCCTGATTATTCTGACAAGCAGGCTCAATGTGGCCACCCAAGGTTTAAATTCATAGCAAATAAGGTTGTCTACATAATGCATACCTCTTTTACTTCCACAAGACCAGAGAGAGTGAGAGTTGAACACAGTTTAGACGCTGTCTTCACTTTGCTATCTTTATCTGCCAAGAAGAAATCCCCAGTTAATAAGTCAGAGCAGGAAAAATACTAGAGGCTCTCCCTATGCAAGTCAGCAGGCCCAGCCCCAGAGTCCAAGGTGTACAGAGTGCAGTAACAGCATTTTAATTTGAAAATTCCTGTGGTTTTCAAAGTGCTCTTACCTATGCTCTTATGATTGTGTCTTATTACCTGTTTCTTGGAACCAGGGGATGTTGGACAATGAATGTTATAAACTGTAAAGTGCAGAGAAGTAGAAGTATTCTCTCTGTAAAGTTCTGTCAGAAACACTATATTTAGTCATCCAGCAAAGAATGTCTGCTAGTTCCATAAAAGTAATGGATTCTTTTATACATTTCAAAATCCTTTCATTTCTATTATTTCATTTGAGTAAGTAAATACTCACATTTTGATTGAAAGACCAAGGGAAAATGCTAAAAACTCAGATATATAATTAAAGGTCTCTGACAGCTATGCCCCTGAACAAAAAGGAGGTTTTTATTTCTTGGACACTGCCATTAATTTCACATGACTTAAATCTACCTCACCACTCTCAGACTTCCAGTTGTTATTCTAATAACTTTATATTTTGAAATAACAACAACAATAATAAAAATATAATAAAATATATTAAATTTGGGCTGGGGATGTGGCTCAGTTGTGGAATGCTTGCCTAGCAAGTGCAAGGCCCTGGGTTTAATTTTCCTAGGTTTAATGTTCAGGGAGGTTTGTGGACCCCTTTACCTCATCTCGTGTAGGCTAACATTTCTCAAAATATGAAGAAATCCTTCCTTACCTACAGGAAACCACATGCACTTTCTCCCTCCCTGGAAAACTGAGATGTGCTCTCTGTGCTATAATTTGCTCTTTCAAGAATATTAATAGAAATACAGACTTTTGAGACTGACTTTTCCTCTCTGCACACTTTTCTTGAGCCACACACCTGATACACAKATCAGTCAACTCCTTTTTACTATGCTCTTTTCCACACTACATTCATACCAAAGTTTGACCTTTCACCTGCTGAATGACCCATCCATTTGTAGGTGGTAGTTAAGTTTCCTTCTGTTTTATTACCAACTGGGTCAGCCAAAGTTTGGAATTTCTTTGATGTATTTCCTCAGTCTTTATCAATAATTTATCCCTGAGGAGAGGYTGTGCGACAGGAATACTGATCTCCAAAATGGCATCTTCTATTCAGAAAGACTTAGCAAGCATGCCCATCAACCCGCCCACTCTAGTTTTTCAAGTGAAGATTTCCTTACCTACAGCTGTCTCTACTGGTTCTTTCAGGAAAAGACATCCCCCAGGCTTAAGGATCCGGGCCATCTCAGCCAAAACCTCTGCACTGTGCAGAGTCACACTTCCTGGGACTACACCTGACAAGATAACGTCAAAGCTGGATTCCTTGTGGGCAGCTGAAAAGAAGGAAGATAGTCAGCCATCACCTGAGACCCTGAAGCAGCCTCCCAACCCCTCCCAAGCCCCCACAGAAGCTCCGCCTCCTGCCCAGGCCAGGGAAACCCTACCTGTCTAGTGAGCACAATTAAACCACCATCACTAGCAAAGCAGGCATGAGGCTCTGCCTGCTCTACTCCAGACTCAGTAATTTCATATTCTTTCATGTGCTCAGAAAGTAAAAAGTTAAAAAAAAAAAAAAAGTGGAACAGCTACTAAGGAAGAAGAACACATAAAAATCAACTATACTCCTAAGGCTACTACATATCTCAAGTGAAAAACAACAAGGTGATTGGCCACTACTTTCATGTACTACCCCATAAAAAAAACTTGGATGTCACAGAACTGCAGACATGCAGCACTCCCGTGGAAACTCCCGGAAGTCCTGAAGTCAGCAGGSTACATACTTACACTGCAACAGCTGGCTCATGTTCTCCACCGACACTTGGCCTTTGTCACCAGTTAACACTTGAAGTTTATCCACCASATCTTTCAGAGCCTCCACAGGGGATGACTTATCCCAGACCACTGCCACAGCCTGGCCAGCTGAGATCCCAAAATCGGCCATTCCTCCAGTGTTGACAGACCTAAAAGCTACTGACCAAGAGAGAATCAGGACTGAGCAGAGAGAGCAGTGCAATTTAACCCAGACGCCATTAGAATGGCAACCTACTCTAACCTCCCACCCAGGAACTCTGATATCATCAGAAAGCTTATTGTAGACTCTGGAGTTGACTAAATGAACTCATGGCCTCAAGGCTTCTTAATCCCTATACTCTCCAACAAGGCAGGAGGTGGGAACCCTGATGTGGCAGGGTCAAGAAAAGGGATTAGATTCGAGTAAGAAGTTGGCAGCAGGAAGATTTTTCTTTTTTGAGATAACTCAGCAAGAAGAGACTATAAAACACAAAGGGCATTAATTAGGCAGAAGTGTGACTCAGCAAGGAAGGCAAATAAATGGAGMTATAACTCAACCACAGCTTACTATTTCTAAAAAAGAGAATACACTAAATTTTACAAATTAAATATTGATATTTTCCTTTTCATCAAAGTATAAAAATTCAATTAATTTATATCTATAAAATCAATGGTATCAACTATGTCTTTAACATTTAATATTGCCAGACTATTCAAAACACTACATATATTATCTCAGCTGACCTCAGAACAGCCTTAAACTGATACTGTTGCCGAAAGCTCAGTCCTTGCCCCTGATGCCAATTCAATAACAAGGACATGGTTTTGAGAAAAAGGAAAAAGAATGTTTATTGCTTTGCTAGCAAAGGAGAAACACAGGGACTCCCCTGTTCCTGCTGATGTGATTCTGCCCATCAGCAGGAACAGGGGGCTTTTAAAGAGGTGACTCAAAGGCTACATGCCAGTGTTCTCTGTCTGGAGTGTAATTCACTTGTTAATTTGGGAGACAGTCATTTCTGAGGTCTTCTGGTACCATCCCCAAAGTCTGGATTTCTTCATTTCTATGGTGAGAGTGTGCTCAAGGACAGATAACTGCCTGGGATGGGGGAAGAAAAATAATAGGGAGGAGCAGGGAAAGAGGAAGAGAAAGTAACACGTCCATTTTTAAAACTAAGCTGCAGTGGCAGAGCAGCAGGGGTTATATTCAAAGCATAAACTGGACCACTGTTACAATACTGCTATCATTTTAGAGAGAGGGAACTGAGGCAGGTAACTATGTACAATTCACACAACCAGTAAGCATTAGGTGGATAAAGTAAGGGCTGGAATTTCCTGTACTTTAACTATGGAAATTTCTCTCCAAGGGTCAACTTTCTCCTCCATTTGATATGCAGATAAGTATATACAGTGTTTACAATGAAAAGAGGTCAAGGGCTGAGTTGCTGCTCAGCTCCTCCTTACTTAAACATTAATGCCACTAAATTTGACTTAAATAGCTCAAATAAATGAAACAGAATAGGTAGTAGAAGGTCAAGCATTGATTAATTTTATGTGGAACACTTCTGGCTTCTGCAGAAGTGGTTGASTCAGAGTCAATTATGTCACCACGAACATTCTGGGGCTGAATTTAGGCCCTGTCCACTACACTATTTCTTCTTTAAAAATGTATACTTCAAATGATAGTCTCCTAGCCAAGCACAATGGCACATGCCTATAATCCCAGTAACTCTGGAGGCTGAGCACACAAGTTCAAGGTCAGCCTGTGTGATGTAGTCAGAATTCATCTTAAAATAAGAAATAAAAAAGGACCAGGAATGATAAAACACCCCTGGGTTCAATCCCCAGTACCAAGAAAAAAAAAAAAAGGCATAAAAAACCCAACAGTGTCTACAAATCATGTTAACCAGAGTTCCTCCCTAAACACTATAGAGCTTTGATGTTATTACTCATTTCAGAAATGAGTTACTAAAGGTTTTAATTTCTAGAGCAAAATCAACACTGCTTAGCCTGCTGGATTCAGGCCCTTCATAATCTGGCTCCACCATTCCAAAAGTTTGCGTTTTCTCTCTATTGTGCCTTTTATGGTGTTTTCATGTGAATACCAACCCTTTGTTATCCTGATCTGATTATAAACCCCAGTCAGTAAAAGGGTGCCAGGTGTCAAGACAGGCAGGATTAATTTAATTTCAGCTTTTAAATCCCCAAAAAGAATACCAGAGAGAACTAAAACGTTTAAGCTTTTAATTGTCGCATGATGTTGAAGAAGAGTTCTTGCAAAATCTTTATGGTAACTTGGGATCAGTTTCACACTTAAGAATCAGCCAGGGGCTGGGCTTGGTGGCACACGCCTGTAATCCCAGCCACTTGGGAGGCAAGGGCTAGGGATGTAGCTCAGTGGTTAAGTACTCCTAGGTTCAATTCTCAGTAACAACAACAACAAAAGAACCMGTAAGGGAGAGTGGTTGGGAGTAGTTGGGAATGAAGCTCAGCTCTAGCATGTGCAAGGCCCAGATTTTGATTACTGGCAAAAACCAAGACAAGACAAAAAAAGAACCAGTCAGAGAAGACAAGAATACAAATTGCTGGGCAGTTAAGTTATAAGAAATATGGGCTGGGGATGTAGCTCAGTTGGTAGAGTGCTTGCTTTGCATGCGCACAAGGTCCTGGGTTGGATCCCCAGCACCACAAAGAAAAAAAAAAAAAAAGAAATAAAGGACCTGGGGTTCTATCTACACTGGGTCTTATCAGGTACATGGCCATGGGTAAGTTACTAGCCTTCCTGAGTTTATCTCTCATCAATAAAGAACAGTAACTTCTATTTTGCAAGGCTGCTATGGGAAATAAGGAAACAATATGTAAAGTTCTCACTAGGGTCTGGTATACAGAGTTCAATAAAACAATGTTCTAAGCTGGGCACTGCACGCCTGTAATCACAGTGGCTCAAGAGGCTGAGGGAGAAGGATCGCAAGTTCAAAGTCGCCTCAAAAACTTAGCGAGGCCCTAAGCAACTCAGCAAGACTCTGTCTCTAAATAAAATATTAAAAAAGGGCTGGGAATGTGGCTCAGTGGTACCTGGGTTCAATCCCTGGTACCAAAAAAAAAAAAAAAAGAAAAAGAAAAAGAAAAAAGTTCTAAGTACATTAGGCTCCCACTCCTGTGGCTAGTTCATTTGCCTTTGCTTTAGATAGTCCTATAAAACCTTTTTCTTCCTCCTTGGCCATGCTTGCTAGGACTCCTCAGGGAACTATGTGAAGCTTATTTTTCATGGTTAGTATGAGAGTTACACTTCATGACATCTTAGTATCCTTGTGGGACTGTCAGCAAGCTAGAAAAATGTAAATATCTTGCTTTCTATATCTCCCAAAACAATCTTACAGCAAAAGGGAGATCATAAAATACATTTACTAAATATTAACAAATAGGCATAGATCCTACTTTCAGTTGGTGTTTTCTGCATAAAATACATTTACTAAATATTAACAAATAGGCATAAATCCTACTTTCAGTTGGTGTTTTCTGCATAAAATAGGAGACTGTGTTCTTTTATATATCTAAAAACCAGAAGTGTGATACTTTTCCTCATCCACTTTGTGTTACTGTTGTGAACTTATCTTTATATATGTAAAAAAAAAAAAAAAAAAAAAAGGGAAAAAAATTCAGTCAACATACTTAGGAGCTGACTCAGGGCCCATTTCATAACTAAAGAAGTGGAATAGAAGTCATCGTCACATCATTGACCTTGCTTATTAGATACCTCTCCAAATGACTGCTGACACATATATCCAGGGCTTTACTAAAACAGCAGGAAATAAAAGCAGACTTCTGAGAATAACAAACTTGCTCATTTTTACGCTATCCTAATCTTGAGGCATTTGGACCCTCTTAAGAAGGATAACATRCCTGTAATCTCAGAGGCTAGGGAGGAGAAATCTCAAACTCAAAACCAGCCTCAACAACTTGGTGAAGCCCTGAGCAATTCAGCGAGACCCGATCTCAAAAATAAAACATTTAAAAAGGGCTGGGGATGTGGCTCAGTGCTTAAACACCCCTGGGTTCAATCCCTAGCATGCATAAATAAATAAATAAAGCCAAAAAAAGAAGGAAATAAAGAAAACAAAGCCCAGCAGAGCACAGGCCTACAGTCCCATCCACCTGGAGACTGAGGTAAATAGGATTACTTGCTCTATTAGTTCTAGACCAGTCTGGGCAGCATAGTGGGACCCACAGAACAAAATATAAACAAAAAGAAAAAAAGCCTCAGAGAGAGATCAGTATTCCTTTACCTAAATCTAGAGATATGGATCTAAAATTTGTAGAATTTTGGCCCAGGGGTCTCATCCCCTTCCCCCATCACCCATGCAGGGGAGAGCAAGATATTTTGAAAAAAAACTAGTTGCTGGGGGTGTACATACAACTTTTTAAATTTGGGGGGTACTTCGGATTGAACCCAGTGGCCCTTTGCCACTGAGCTACACCCCGAATCCTTTAATTTTTATGTTGATAGAAGGCCTTGCTAAATTGCTGAGGCTGGTATGGAACTTGAGATTTTCTGCATCACCCTCCCCAGTCGCTGGGATTACAGGCCTGTGCCAAGGGCCGCGCAAAACACAACTTAAGCAGATTTAAAGGAAAAAAAAAAAAAAGATGGGACCTAATCTGCAAACACAAAATTTACATAATTGCATGCTCCTATAATTATCCCTAACCAAAAATCATTTACTTCTTCCTATTAGCCTACCCTTATGATTCCCCACTGAGGTGCTCTGCATTTACATTTTTTAATGACAACACTGTGACCTCCTCGAGCATCAGGCCATTGCCTGGCCAGTTAGTAATTCCAGAAGCAACACAATCAACTTCTCCCAAACTTGCAGATCCTACAAGCCACCCTCGGCACTTGGTAAAGCAAGACTGCCGCCTACACACCATAACAACTCTCGAGGACCAAGACTGGGGTGTTCGTTTTAACAAGCATCCTAGAAGATTCGTCCTATCTGGCAAGTCTGAGGAAGACTCAATATCTTGGGAGGTCCAGACAAATCACAGGTTCAAATTTCATCTGTTGGCTTATGGAGCCCCAAGCTTTCGTGCTCCGCTGCCTGGCACCTTCAGAGACGCAAACTTCGGAGAACTGGGACGCAAGGTCACAACAGTTGGCTAAGAGGTAGAACCGGGTCTCAGACACCGTCTCCCCGCCCGAGCTCAGGTCCTTCCCACCTCAGCGATCAGTGTCCGGGGGCGACTGAGCGACAAACGAGACAACCCAGGAAGGACAGGGAGCCACAGCGTCAGGAGCCCAAGCAAGTAGGTCCTGGACCGGGCTCGGCCCCCTGCTTCCCAAAGCATAAGCCCGCCGCCGCCGGGGTTCTCCACGGGGCGGCCTTGGCTACATTCCTACCTAGGCACGAGGCTGGAAATAGGAAATGGGAGGATGTGGGTCATGGAGGTGGCGGGAGAGGCCGTTGGAGAATGTCGGGCGTTCCGGTTGCTCCAAGTGCGCTCACCTACAGCTAGGGCTGGCTCCTGGGCTCTCCGCGCTCGCCGGCTCCGGGTCTCGTGCTTCTCGCGAGAGGGGGAGGTTCCGCGGTGTCAAAAGGGCAGAGCGGCTGCGCAGCCGACCTGGCGTTTCCCTTTACGTCAAGTCGTCGGCCTGCGTGCCCGCTCCCAAGATGGCGGCGGCGGCGGCAGCGTCGGGTGTGCTGGGCAAGGCAGGCTGGAGGTTCCTACAGCTGCGGTGCCTGCCCGGTGAGGGAGCGGCCGAGCCCGGGAGCGGGGAAGAACTGGGATGGGGAGTGAGGCCGGCTTGGCCTGGGTGGGGGACGGAAGAGGCCGTCGTGGCGGCCCGCGAGCAAGGTGAGATGAAGGACAACGGCGCGGAGTCGCCGGCTTTTCAATCTGGAACGGTCCATTTGGCAGCTTCGGTCTCCAGTTTGCAGCTGTTAGGGGCGCGAGCAGCGGGGCAGGGACTGTCACTCCCATTTCACGGAGTTGGCGGAGCCTTTGAGGGTTGAGTGTGTCCAGATCACGCCGCTCGTCTGTTGCAGAACTGTCAGCCGCGGACCCATTCCCAAATCCATTGCCTTTGGTCCCAAGACAGGATCACTTGAGGGACAGTTGGACCGAGAGCGTCCAGTCTGTTGTTTTCTAAAAGTCAGTCATTTCCCCAGCACTTCACTAATTCTGTGACATTCTCTTTACCACCTTTGCCGCTATGTGCACAGTATTTTATTTCTACATCTGAGTATCCTAAAAATAGACATTTACTTTATATCACTGTCATAAATGGAAAACTGATATCATTTGCCACAAATAGAACATAGTATGCATTGACCCATTAACATAAATATATAGCTAATGAAATATTCTTTGGCTTTTCACCTAAAATTTTCTCATGAGCTGCAGTAATTCCCGACGTATTTTGGGATCTTCCTCTTTTTCAAAGTTTTATGGATACTTCTGTTTATCCACTAAGATAGTGATATATATATATATATATATATATATATATATATATATAAATGAATGAGGGAGAGATACTGATTCTGTTTCTTTTGAATTCATTGTTCCCCGAATTCTATAGATTTTTTTTTTTTTTTTTAGAATTTTTAATATTTATTTTTTAGTTCTCGGCGGACACAACATCTTTGTTGGTATGTGGTGCTGAGGATCGAACCCGGGCCGCACGCATGCCAGACGAGCGCGCTACCGCTTGAGCCACATTCCCAGCCCATCTATAGATTTTTTTAATGAGTGCCTTTTTGTCATTTTTATACAAATTTCTAGTAATATATTTAGTAAAAGTAATACCTATGACCTACCCTTAAGATATTTATCCAAAAGAATTGAAAGCATGTGTGTACAAAAAGGTTTGTACAAGTATATGCATAATCATTTAATCATAACAGTCAAAATTTGAATCATCCCAGGTATCCATCAACAAAACAATAGTGATTTGGGGGGGGGGGGGTTGGTCTCTCTTTCCCAGGCTGGCCTCAAACTGGTAATCCTCTTGCCCCAGCCTTCTTAGTGGCTAGAATTATGGACTTGTGCCATGCACCAGTGGCTTGATAGAATTTGCTAATGTAATAATACTAGGCAATAACAACCAAAAGATCTGTCAAAGATAAACAAAGCCAGACACTAATTAAAGGATTTGGGACAGATTTTAATCAATAACAACTTTGCAGAAAGGAAACTTTTGGAATCTGTCCAGTGAAGTGAAATGGTTTGCCATTACCACACAGCTGACAAATGCAGATACAGGCCCAGAAGCCAGGTAGGATTTTCCTCCTGGCTCACTGTTTTTGCCAACACATCATGTCGAAAGGTTCCATTTTACCCAAGATTTTTGCGTGTGATCCAACACTTGGATAAGTGGTTGTCGAGGTGTCTCTGCCCTATATTTCCTCAACCCCATTCTTTTAGCACCTCTAGGTTTCAAAGGGTCTTCTTTGATGCAAGATCCTGACAGCCCAGTTTCTGTTTCAGTGTCCCGCTGCCGAACACTCCTGGTGCCACGTGCCTTCCATGCTTCAGCTTTGAGGTTCAGGTCTTCCGAGGAGCAGAAGCAGCAGCCTCCCCCATCTTTTTCTCAGCAGCATCCTGAGCCACCAGGAGCACAAAAACCCGATGTAGAGTCTCCTCGCATACCTCCCAGGTAGGCACCAGAACCCAGTCCACCTGTCTGTGGCTACCTTGCCTGCTTGGTTCTGTCTGTCCCTTCCTGGCTCAGGCTCCTGTCCATTCCCCTCCTCACCTTCTGTCAGCTGTCTTTGAAAAGAACCTATTGTTTTTATAAAGATGGTACCCATGCAGTCTAAAACATCTGAACAGTACAGAGAAGTTTGCAAAAATTACCTGAAACCCCACACAGAGATAACCCTGCTGACATTTTTGCCTTCAGGTATTTCTCTAAGCATGTTTCATAAATCTGTGTATATAATAAATGATTGATTACATTCTATATGCTATTCAGAACCTGTTTTTTCACTCCGAAGTAACTTTTTTTTTTTTTGGTACTGGGGATTGAATCCCGAGGCACTTAACCACTGAGTCACATCCCCAGCCCTTTTTTAATATTTAATTTAGAGACAGGGTCTTGCCGAGTTGCTTAGGACATCACTAAATTGCTGAGGCTGGCTTTGAACTCAACAATCCTCTTGCCTCAGCCTCCCAAGCTGCTGGGATTACAGGTGGGCGCCACCATGCCCAGCTCAACAGTACACTTTTAATAACCCCTCACAGTTTATTTTAGTGATTGTATAACATTCCAGGAAGGAATGGGCCAAAATCTATTTAACCTGTCCTAAATTGATGACTATTTAGGTTTCCTTTGGTTATATGAAAGATTATGTGATAAACTGTGTAAACTTTCCTTAAAGATGGGAGCACTGAGTCAAAAGAGATTTACATTTAAGTCTTCTTACATATGTGGGGCCAAATTACCTTTCAAAAAGTTAATAATGATTTACCTTTCCACTAGATATGATTTTTCTTCCTAATCCTACCACTGAAAATCGAATGTTCCTCGATATGAAGTTAGAGTGTTCTTCTTCATCTTTTTCTGGTTTCCTAATGAAAATCTTTTCATTTCAATTCAACAAATATTTTTTGAGAATCTACCATGTGTCAGCCTTATGAATGATACACTATTGTCCCTACCCTTATTGGGGACATGGAGTTACAGTCTGCTGCAAATACTGGGAACAAAACTCTGAGCTCAGTGTGCTGAGGGCTGGAAACAGGGAAGCCCAGGGTGCTGTGGGAACATTGCCTTCATGTCACGAGACCTCAACTCACTTGGTCCCTTTTCTTTGGCTGTGTGGCCGGGGAAGGATGATGGGATTTTTACTGGGCTGGCAGTGCGACATTCATGCTAACAGAAGTAAATGTCCTGCCAGCGTGTGCTTAGAGGAGACCCAGAGCCTGTGGCTTCTGGTCAGGCCCACTTTGCACTCCAGGCGATAGAGAGTGAGATAAGGTGTGCTGGGCTCTGTTCCCACATTTCAGGTACACTGACCAGAGCGGGGAGGAGGAGGAGGACCACGAGAGTGAGGAGCAGTTGCAGGACCGCATCCTGACGGCAGCCCTAGAGTTTGTGCCTGCCCATGGGTGGACCGCAGAAGCTATTGCCGAAGGAGCCCAGGTGTGTATAGGTGAGGGTGGGGCAGCCTGACCCAGATCAGCCAGGAGGAGTCCCTCGAGGCGACAGAGGGCTTCATGCCCTTTACCAGCCCAACTTGGAGCCTCTCACAGGTAAAGACTGTCTAGGTTTTGGGGTTTGTTTCCCAACAGGGTGGATACGGCTTTATTTTTAATTATAAAAAGAGTAGCAGGCTGGGCACATGCCTGTAATCCCGAGTCTGAAGGCTGAGGCAGGAGGATTGCAAGTTTGATGTTAGCCTCAGCAATTTACCAAGGCTATAAGCAACGTAGGGAGACCCTGTCTCAAAATAAAAAATAAAAAGGGCTGGGGATTTTGTAGCTCAGTGGTAAAGCAACCCCTGGGTTCAATCCCCAGGGATTGAACCAAAAAGGAAAAAAAGAAATCCTCCACCCAGAATTCAATCACAAAAATAATACGTGGCATTATGGTCTAAGGTAGCTGGCTAAGCAGGCATTATCTGTGATCAAAATTACCACATCTCACTGATTCTAAGATGTCATTGTTTGTAAGAAGCACTATTTTTAATGTACCAAAAAATAAAAATGCTGTTATTAAACTGATACAAAGTTATAATTTAGATCTGGAATGTCCCCCAAAGGCTTATGTGTTGAAGGCTTGATCCCCAGTACAGCAATGTTCAGAGTTGGGGCTTTGGGGGAGTGATTGGATCATGAAGGCTGGTTTCACCAATGAATTCATAATTAACAGGCTGTTGGGAGGTAATGGAGACTGGTGGAGGTGGGGCCTAATCGGAGGAAGGGGTCACTGATGGAATATGTTGTCCCTACGCCTTCCTCACTTTCTGCCTCCTGGCTGCCAGGAGGTGAGCAGCTTTCCTCTGCCGTGCCCTTGGGCCATAATATTTCTGCCTTACCACAGGCCTAAAAGCCTTGGGGCCAGCCAGTCATGCACGGAAACCTCTGAAACTAGGAGCCGAGATAAACCTGTCCTCCTTTAAGTTGTTATTCTCAGGTATTTTGTCACAGTAACAGGAAGCTGACTGACACATCATCAATTCTGTGATTCACACTGATTTTTTTAATTAATAGAAAATATATGTGCATCTTAGAATTAATAAGATATGGTGTCAACCCCCAGGAGGGAACCACTGTGAAAACCAGATTTCTTTCAGTAGGTCTAACAGCATTTACTCATGCATTGAAATAGACTACCTCTAGTAGTCTATTTTTAGTTTAGGCCATGTGTGCAGAATCATCTAGCAAAGCCAGATACTATCCTATGCAGGGCCTCTTGGATGATGGGCAAGTTTGCTGCTTTACTTAGATCTGTTGTTTCTTGTCTTTCACTCTCTCAGAAGAGAACATTTGGTAATAGAAATCATGTAAGTGGAATTTGTAAACTCAGATTCCACCATATGCTCATTGTGAGGCACTGAGTTGGATCCTCAACACCACATAAAAATAAATTAATGAAATAAAGATATTGTTCCTTGTATAACTAAAAAATATTTTAAAAATTACACGTAATGTTTAGATTCATTGCTGTATATCCGTTCGTGCACTTGATACAGTGATATAATTTGGCTAATGTTATTCCCTAGGATTTCCCCTTTCCCTTCCCCTCCTCTCCCTCTCTGGCCCCTCTCCTCTACTCTTTTGGTCTCCCTTTGATTTTCAAGAAACACCCCCACACTTATCTTTCTTTTCCTTTTTCCTGACTTCCTCATATGAGAGGAAATGTACAACCCTTGGCTTTCTCTTAACATAATATTCCCAACTTACATCCATTTTCTGCAAATGACATAATTTCATTCTTCCTTATGGCTGAATAAAACCCCATTGTGTGTGTGTGTGTGTGTGTGTGTGTGTGTGTGTGTGTGTGTGTGTGTGTATCACATTTTCTTTACCAATTCATCCACTGAGGGACACCTAGGCTGGTTCCATAGTTTGGCTGTTGTGAATTATGCTGCTGTAAACATGGGCATGCATGTGTCACTATAGTGTGTTGACTTTAATTCTTCAGGATAAAGACCCAGGAGTGGTATAGCTGGGTCATATGGTGATTCCTTGTGTGGTCTTTTAAGGAGCCTCCATACTGATTTCTAGATTGTACATTGTACTAATGTACTATCCTACCAGTGTAAAAAGGTTCCTTTTTCTTAATATCCTCACCATTTATTATTGCTTGTATTCTTGATGACTGCCATTTTTACTGGAGATGAAGTCTCAGTGTAGCTTTGATTTGCATTTCCCTAATTGCTAATGATGTTGAACATTTTTTCATGTATTTTTGGCTATCTATAGTTCTTCGTTTGAGAAGTGTCTAAGTTTACGTGCCAATTTATTAATTGGGTTATTTGTTTTGTTTTTATTATTTTTTTGATGTTGTTTTTTGAATTTTTAAAAATGTTTTCAAAGTTGTCAATGGACTTTATTTTATTTTTTATATGTGGTGCTGAGAATCAAACCCAGTGCCTTACACATGCCAGGCAAGTGCTCTACCACTGAGCCCCAGCCCTAGCCCCTGTTTTTTTAATTCTTTATATATTCTGGATATTAATGCTCTGTCTGAAGAGTCACTAGCAGAGATTTTCTCCCATTCTGTAGATTCTTTCTTCACATTCTTGTTTCCTTTGCTGTGCAGAAGCTTTTTGATTTGATGCCATTGTATTTATTAATTCTTACTTTTAGGAGTCCTATTGAGAAAGCTATTGCCTGTGCCTATATTTTGGAGCTTTGAACCCTGTGTTTTCTTCTAGGAGTTGCACAGTGTCTGGACTAATTCCTAGGTCTTTGATCCATTTTGAGTTGGCTTTTGTATAGGGTGAGAGATAAGGATCTAGTCTTATTCTTCTACGTATGGATAATCAGTTTCCCCAGCACCATTTGTTTAAAAAGCTATCTTTCCTCCAACATGTTTTTGGCACTTTAATCAAGGATCAGATGACTGTAGGTGTACGGGTTTATCTCTGTGTCTTTTATTTTGTCTCATTGGTCGGTGTGTCTGTTTTATGCCAATACCAAACAATTTTTGTTACAATAGCTCTGTAGTATAATTTGAAATCAAGTATGGCAATTTTGGTTTTGGGTTTTTTTCCCCAGTGCTATGAAGCATGTTTTTAGTTCATTGTGAAAACTTTGAAAAGTACAAACATATATAAAAAAAAAGAATTTGAAAATAAAGCACCTGTGATCACACCAGAGAGCCTCTTTTCAGTATTTCAATGCCTGTTCTTTTTTGTTGTTGTGTTGTACTGGAGGTTGGACTCAGGGGTACTCAACCACTGAGTCACATCCCCAGCCCTATTATTTTGTATTTTATTTAGAGACAGGGTCTCACTGAGTTGCTTAGTGCCTTGCTGTTGCTGAGGCTGGCTTTGAACTCAAGATCCTCCTGCCTCAGCCTCCAGAGCCACTGGGATCATAGGCATGTGCCACTGTGCCCAGCTCAATGCCTATTCTTTCAATTTAAAAAAAAAAAGAACTTTATTAATCATTAATTATTGAGCAAGTAGTGTGCATTAGGCTCTATTAGGGACATGACAGTGGTCACAGTGGACAAAGTTTCTRCCTGTGGAGCTTCCAAGTCTGTGACATTAAGCAAATAGACACTGTGTAGACTTATGAAATATGACAAGTGCTGCCAAGAAGAGGTGCTATTGGGACACGCAGTTGAAGACTCTGAAAGGCTTTTGCGTTGATGAACAAGTAGACTTTCTCTGGTTTTGGAGGGAGATGGGGATGGCTAAGTCCAGATAGGGAAACCGCATRTGCACCTTAAGGAGAAGAACGCTGCTGTAGAAGGGCCAGAGGAAACCAGCGTGCAAAGGAGGTGCCTAGAGGAGTAGGACTGAGGAAGGCCCGTGGGGGCCAGGTCAGGCAAGGCTGCAAGGTCTTGTTAAGGAGCTTTTACTCTAAGAACAGTTGAAGACGTGAGGTCACATTGGCAATTCAGAGCATCGCGGGGTAGAAATGGATTGGAGGCAGAGAGAATCAGTCCTTGGAGGCTGCAGCCAGTCATCCACAAGAGATGAAGTGACCCAGTTTAGAGCACTGGCAGTGGAGGGGAGACCAGTGGGTGGGTGTGGTGGTAGGCTGGACATGGGAGGGAGCAACAGGATGGTGGTACCAGTGTTGTCATGCATGGGTGCATGGTGGTGTGGCTTCTGAGAGGAGAACCACTGGCAGAGGGCCAGGTTTGGGGAAGGACCATACAGTCTTGATCTGTGCTAAGTGTGGCAGGTCTTTTGTCTTTTGAATTTGCTTAGAGGAGGCACGGAAACCCGGCACTGGAGGAGCTAGCTGGACTAGAGGTGGGCCTTCAGGCATGGCCAGCATGTGTATGTCATGATTAAATTGTGCAAGTGAACGAGATTGCCCAAGGCAAGGGAGTAATGTGATGAGAGAGAGGACCATAGACCTTCAAGGAAATCTGACATGACMGAGGAGAGTGGGACAGAGCGGACAGAGCGAGCCGCTGAAGTACTGGTTAGAGTGTCCTGGCTGTGGGAGGCAGAGCAGGAGAGGGTAGACTGAGCCACAAAACTTTGGTTGCTTCAGTGGCAGCTGTCACTGGGTGAAGACCCGGGTCAGAAGCCAGCTGGGATGGGTTGATAAGGTGAGGAAGTAGCAAAGCATTTGGCCCGGCAGAGGGGTGGAGTGGAAGTTTGAGCCTGATTGGACCCGCAGGAAGAGCACAGAAACAGGTAAGGGGGAAGGGAGAAGATGGGCAAAATCCAAAGCAGCAGACGCCTCCAAGGCAAGGACTTGAGCTCTGGAAGATACATAGAAGGACTGACCGTGAACGTGTGAGCGCAGAGCTGGAAAAGACAGCTGCAGGCTTGGTTTCTAGAAGAACACTAAGGGGTTYCCAGAGGATGGCCCCTGTTTTCTCTGTGAAGTAGGCGTAGCTGCATCTTGAACCTGAGGTGAGGAAAGGGTGGGAGGAGGCAGAGGTTTGAGGGTAGAGAAGGTTTAAAAGAAAGTGATGGAATAAAGTAGAAGAAAGAAATGTAACAGGTCGTGTGGAAACAGCAGGTTATGCTGAATATTCTAGGTAACTCTTCTGTGCACCTTCTTTTTTAGTGGCCGCAGAGTACCTACTGAATTTACTTGACTTCGGTTGTCAAACATTTGGGTATTTCCGATTTTTTAGTATTGTAAACTTATTTATACAACACAGTACATTTCTGATTAGTTTCCTTAGGACAAATTTCAGGGGGAGTTGCTTTATCAGGAAATATATTGCTCAGAATTCAGTTAGGAGACCATAACTTGCCAGTTATTGGAATAGAATTTAATAGAAAGAGTTGTTAACTGGTATCAGTAACCAGGTAATGGAAAGGATAGAAAGAAGGGTATCGTGGAGGTGGCAGCAGCAGGAAGCAACTTCATCCGGCCGAGGAAACAAAAGGAAGAGTTGGAATTATTGAAATGAGGAGCTTGAAGGAGAGTTCCCATGTGGGAGGAATCTCGGGCCTCTGAGGCGGCGCTGCTTAGCTGGCACAGGTGTCTCTGTGCTTGGAGGGAGGGTCCTTGGGGGCTGCCGCCTGAGTTGGGAGGGCAGGACGAGGATGTGGCTTGATGAAGCTTGTTCTGCACATGCTGGGAAAACTGCACACCAGGCTCGGCAGTTGTGTTGCTGCTCCTGGAGGGAATTACTGCTTCCAGGCTGAAGGGCTTCCCTAGGGTGCTGCTCCTGGGAACCTCAAGCAACAAGATGCAGACAAGAAATGTGTTTGCAGAGTGCCAGCCCCACAGTGCAGGAGCCAGCAGGGAWGTCACACGTGGCCCACGCTCACACCCTGTTGGAGTCAGAGCAGCCTCGTGTGTCAGAGCTTCACGCTCTATGAAGAGTGAGTGACAGTAGTGCCCAGCTGATAGAGCTGCTGTGCAGGGGCAGAGACCACATAATGTGCTCAGGGTGTCCCTGGCAGGTGGCGTGCATGAAGTCACCATCAGCATCGAGGCTGCTGTCAGACTGTCCTCTATGGAGTCTGCACTTCTCCAAAAGAGAGTGCTAACCCCTCCCAACAGTAGGAATTCATATTTAATATATTTGTGTTCTTTTCCTGCCATCTGTCCCTGCTGCTGTCAGTGTTCTGCTTTCAGTAGATGCTCAATTATTGCTGTAGATCAGGAATAACAAAATTTCTGTGGTTTTGTTAACTCCTTGACAACTCATTATGAAAAAATTTGTTTTAAACCATTGACCGCTCCAATTTCCAGCAGATGCAGGGAATCAAAAGAGGAGTCAGGAAGGGAGGAATGAGTGCCCTTCCCAGATCCCCTGGTGGTATTAGGGCTCCAGGTTTCAATGGCCAGACCAGAGCTGACTCTGACTCTGACTCTACTGACTTATGACTGACTTATGCTAGAGAGGATGTTTTGGCTCATTTTAATACAGAATAGTCTGAAAGTAGCCCTGGCCAGTGTTCTTTTTGCTTTCCTCTCTGAGCTGACTTCCCAGCAGGGGCCGCCCAGGCAAGAGTAAAGGTGGTGCAGCAGGTCAGCAGGAAGAGTACCTTCCCTTAGTACTAGGGAGAGTGCTATGGTGGCCCGGGACCTGCATGTAGTGCTGTGCCCATCCCTATGCTGGTCAGTGAACTCTGGTCATCCAGCATGTGCTTGGCACACACACCAAGGGGCTTGGTGGACAGTGGAGAGACAGGTGGTGGTGAGTTTCACCAAAATCACAGGGACCTGGGGTGAGGAATGTGGAGTCTCACTGAAGTCAAGGCCTTGCTTCTGGAAGAGGCATTAGAGATGCACAGGCGATGAATGTCTGTCACACCTGCCCACCTCTCTGTGTTCTCTCTCCCCTCTGTAGTCTCTGGGTCTGTCCAGTGCAGCAGCCAGCATGTTTGGGAACGATGGCAGTGAGCTGATATTGCACTTTGTCACCCAGTGCAACACTCGGCTCGCCCACATACTAGAAGAGGAGCAGAAGCTGGTGCAGCTGGGCCAGGCAGAGTAAGTCCTTTGGCTTTGTTGTTGTTCAGAGTGGCAGCTAAGGATGGGGACTCGGGCCCTACCAGCTGTCCCCAGAAGCCAGCCCAAGCAGAGCCAAAAGAGGGTAGCACCAACTGCCCTGCTGCTTGGAGGGAACCGAAACCCAGCAGCGTGTCTCTGACAGCTTTAGCCAGGCCAGCATCAGGAGCTGGTGGGACCCTCCTCCCCAGGGCTGAATAAGCAGTGTAGCGCCAAGTTCCGGCCTCTGACCTGGAGACACACTGTTTTCTTTTCCCTCTTCCAGGAAGAGGAAGACAGACCAGTTCCTGAGGGACGCAGTGGAAACCAGACTGAGAATGCTGATCCCGTACATTGAGCACTGGCCCCGGGTACAGAGTCCACATCCAGGCCCCAGAGCACAATAATACTTAACATTCTCAGTACCTTTCACTCAGAGGACTTGCATATTATTGAGAAGTTAGCTCACTAATCTCCATAAAGCCAGGAACGCTTACTACACTCAGTAAAGCTAGGTTCAAGCTTGGGAGTGCCCACAAGAGCGACTCTGAGCCGTTTCTCTCTCAGTCTTGGACATGTGAGTGGCCTAGATCACATCCTGGGGGCGGGGGTCCCCGCAGCTGAGTGAGCCACTAGGTCTTTGTAAGGAAGACCCCATGGAAGAGGTTAGGAGAGTCAGGGATTTCTCAGCCGTCTTCACTTTAATAATAGTCCTGTTGTGCTTAACATCTCAAGGACTGGAACTTCTTGTCCAATTGCCAATGTTTGGGAAAGGGCTTTTGTCCCCTTTTCTGAAGTTTCCTTTTTCCTCTGTTTCAAAGCATGTCACAGTGTGGGCCATTCTCTGAGTTAAGAAAATGCAGTCAAAGTACCTTAGAAATAAGAAAGATTTAAACATCCAGTGCCTTCAGTCCAGCTGGAAGACTATTGAATGCGTAATTTCCGTCATTCATTTGACAGCCTTGTGAGCAYCTATGGTGCTCCTGACCTCAAGCTGGGTGTGAAGGGGTCACAGCCTGGGGTCATCCCGCCCCCTGCAGGTGAAGCTGTGGAAGTGCATGGGCCTGGCCTCAGCTGCCTTCCAGATTGAGCACAGCTTTTCCTCCAGGGCTGCTTAGCTGAGAGAAAACTTCCCAGCCCATCYGGGACCTCTGTCATCAGACCACAGCCAGTGGGTTTTAGAGTTGATAAAGAGGCAAGATCTTGTCCAGTTAGGCCAGGAGGAGCTGAAGTCTGCTAATGGCCAGGTCCCTGGTTTGTGCCATCACTGGTATAAGTTGAAGGGTTTTTGCTTTCAGGAGACCGAAGTCAGCTTGAGTTAAGCAGAAGAGCCCGGGAGGATTCCTGGTGATGCTGCCGTGGGGCACTKAGGGCGGGATGTTGCTGTGGGGCACTGAGGGCCCGATGCTGCAGGGCGCTGGGGTCGGCCTGGCATGTCCTGGAAACCKCCCCAAACTCTCCTGCTTTTTACCCTCGCTCCCCTCTGCTTCTAACTCTTTGTGACAGAATGAGGTCCCCTCTCCYATCCTTGCTCTCAGGACTCAGAGAGACCAGTCTAGACCCTTTGGCTGTTTGCATTCCCAATTACAAATATTAGGGATGGAGAATCTATTTTTGTCCGAGTTAGGACAAAAACATGCCCCAGGCTCCCAGCTTTAGTCAGGGTTGGTAACTGCCAGGAGCTCCCACCGCTGSGTGGAGAGGGCAGATCTCAGAGAACCAGAGCTGGGCCGACCCCCTGTATGTTCCGTAGCCGCCTGTGCAGTACCTATTCCTGTTACTCTCTCCTCAGGCCCTCAGCATCCTCCTGCTCCCTCACAACATCCCACCCAGCCTGAGCCTGCTGACCAGCATGGTGGATGACATGTGGCATTATGCTGGGGACCAGTCTACTGACGTGAGTTTTCTGCAGGCCCACAGGACACTAGGAGAGGGTTGGGGAAAGCACTTCTTAAAAGTTGGTGAAATTTCTTTGATCACAAGTCTCCTCAGGGGGCCTGCAAGAGTCATTCCCATCTGAGGCATGAAGAGGACCCCTCAGTAAGCCAGAGTGGGATGTAGGTCACCCTCATTCAGGGACCAGCATTCTAGTCACAAGCCAGGGCTTGTTCCTTCCCGGGCACAGTGGTGGTGCGAGACCTCAGGAGGCCTCGGGRTTGGGAGGCCCTTTATTAGTCATGCTCCCTCCCTCTCCTGAGATGTAGGTTCTGCAGCAGAGTTCCTCAGCGTCTGTCCTTGCTGAGACTGATTTTGAAAAAAGGAGGTGCCATGTAGACACCATTGCTTTAAAGAGAAACTCCCTGCCGCCCATCTTGACCTGCTTTGCTAAGAGATCAATAATTCCTTTTAAAGAGGTACCAGGGAAGAATCTGACTTGTTAATGCTACTGTATTTCTGGTGGGAAATTAAAAAATCAAAGTACACCTTCATAAAATAAATTAAAATCTGATGGTACTTTGTGGAATCCAGAATGAGGAGGCCCACAGATCCTCCCACCACACTTATAACAAAGTGCTTTAATCAACATCTTCATGTGGGAATATACCACCAACAGAGAGGGTAGGAACATGAAATTAGAAAGCAAAGAAATTAAAGGAATAAAACACCAAGCAGCTGAGCTGGTCCTCTGGAGAGTGGTTTGCCAGGACCAACACAAGTCACCAGAGACTTGAATGCTCATCTTTCCAAGGTGTTGTAACCTGTCCCTGATCTGYCCCAGCCCTCACTGGACTGACAACACACTAGGGTTTGGTCATAACTGTCTGGTTGCAGAGCCTCCCCAGGACTCTAAGATGCCCTAGGACTTAGTCTTTTCCCCAGCAGTTCTAAAATGGACTGGATATAGTCAGATCACCTGAGATGTTTATTAGAACTCCTGGCTCCTACCCCTTAATTCAGATTCACTGACTCAAGACTCTTAAGAGGTTGGGGCCAGGAGCTCACATTTTTAATCCTCCAGACAATTCTGATGTGCAGCCACATTGGGGACACTATTGTTGTCCAGAGGACCATGTGTATTGTATCTATGAGGGAAAGAAGTCAGGAGAGAGTTCGGGAGTCAGCAAGGCCTTAGATAGGAACTACCTTGACCGCCACAGCCCACAAAAGCAATGGTGACTCTCTTTCCCGGGGGGTTTCTCCACAGTTTAACTGGTACACCCGCCGGGCCGTGCTGGTTGGCATCTACAACACAACAGAGCTGGTGATGATGCAGGACTCGTCCCCAGACTTCGAGGACACTTGGCGCTTCCTGGAAAACCGGATTAATGATGCAATGAACATGGGCCACACTGCCAAGCAGGTAATTGGGRACTAGCCGTTTAGGAACCTCTTCAAAGGGTGCATTCATTCTCCTTGGGCCACAGCTGGTCACCTGGCTGTTGTGCTCCTGCTTCCTCTCTGCCTCAGCTGATGGTCCCCAGGGCCTTCCCAGGGAGCCTGGCTGAGCAGCTCTCTTATACTAGCCCGCCCTGAGGAACTATGCTTTGCCCATTTATAACTGTGTTGTCCATAGACTCTTCCTCCAGTGCACAGTGCAGGGGGTCACAGGCTTCCTGATCAGTCCCATCTGTCCCACCTTTGAGTTCATGTTGGGGCTTAAGGGCCACTGACTCCTTCCAGGTGAAGTCCACTGGAGAGGCGCTGGTGCAGGGCCTCATGGGTGCAGCAGTGACGGTGAGTACAGTCCAGCTTATCCCATCTACCCCTCTGATACGTGTCGCCCCACATGGTTTTGTAGTCTAAAAAGACTGGCAGCCCTAGTCTTGATCCCAAATGCCCCTTTTACTCCCGGTGTGTGTCAAGAGTGGGTATCAGAGCCAGCCCTGCCACCTGGAAAACGCCAGTCTCCCCCTCTGGAGTCCTGGAGGAGGGAAGGACCTCACCACTCTGTTTCCATCCCTGTATCAGCTCAAGAACTTGACAGGTCTAAACCAGCGCCGGTGAAAGGAAGGAGTGAACCCTGAGTGCCTRGAAGAAAAGGAGCAGGTAGATTTAAAGGGTTTTAACAAGTAAGGAGTGCAACCGTGGGACAGGGTATTACCGAGTRTTACCAAGAACACGGGAGGACTCAAGTCACCAGCAGCTACCTGGAAACCAGGGCACTTGGTGATACAGTTGTGACATGGGATGCGGCTACCGCTTCAGTTCCTGATCCCAGGCCTGGCCTTCTGATGCCTTTCTGCATTACAACTGTGTGACTGGAAAACAACACTCACCCAAGCTTTCAAGCCACAGAAACTCTGCATGTCCCTATCATGGTCTCCCAGTCACCTTGGTCCTGTCCTAGCCTTCCTAGGAAAGCTCTGTGGCGCTCCCAAGTCAGAAACAAAGTCTACCACCAGGTGGCAGCTCAGCCCCAGTGCGACATAGGCATGAGTGACCCAGGTGTTCCTTTGCTGTCCTGAGAGCGGCTCCTGTGGGTCCATTCAAAAAGCTGCCTCACCTGAGACAGTTCCTGCTGGGTGGTGGCGCTCAGCCTGGCCAGAAGTATGATACAGTGTGTCACATTACACCACGGGTGGCCAGTGGTGTCACCTTACACCAGCATGCATTGCAGCATTATTAGTGTATTTAGAATCTGTAAAAATAATAAATACGTTTGAAGCATTTGGCTGTTTTGAGCTTTCCATGTAGACCACGATCAATATCCAAGGCCCCCCGAGGGACACAGAAGTATGGGGAAAAGGCTTGAGCCAAGCGGCCAGGAGACTTGAGTTCTGGCTGTGGTGCTGATCCCCACTGGATAACTAGGACCACTCCATGTCTCTGGGCCCAGGTCTTCCATCAGACAAATGAGGGTAACAGGTGTCCCCCTAAACCACTCGCTGTCTTGGCTGCTCTTGTCTCACCACTTCAGTGATCGTCTGTAGCTCTCAGCCCAGTGCTCACTGGGCTCCTTTGCATCTCTGGTTGACTCTGTCTCCTGCTTTGCTCTCTCCTGCCTGTGTCAGCCGAATATTGATGGGGATGTCAGGAGCTAATCAGATCTCAGATCTCTTCTCCTGGGCCTACCACTGTTTTTTTTTCCCCCTATACTTCTGATTCTTTGTGCCTTGTGACACCCTGTGAAGTTCCTGCAGAAGCTACTCCACATCGCATTTTCCCCTTTATCCTTCAGGGCATCCCCCTCATCTTAGCAGATGGCTATAATTCATAATTCCCTGAGATGGCATGAGCTGCGGAGTAAGAGCCCCCTTGGTGCCCTTCCTCTAGGCTCAGGAAAAGGTGTTACTCTTTGCCACAGCAAACTTCTCTTTATTTTCTGACTGCTTTTCTGCTCCCTAGATGAAGCTCCTGCTGGGTTCTATCTAAGGGCCTCTCTTCTCTATGAGCAGCTGCCACTTTTTTAAGACCCGTTTAAACTCATCTCTAGTCTGTTTAGGGGCTTTGGTAATGGAGCACACACACTGTGGAGCCCACCACCAGGCACTGGGGATGCAGAGATGAAGAGCTCTCACCCACTGTAACTACACAGAGCTGTAGATGATAAGCCCAGCATGGTGGTGCACACCTGTTATCTCAGCTACTGGGGAGGCTGGGGCAGGAGGATTGAAGTTCAAAGCCAGGCTTGGCAATTTAGTAAGACCCTATCACAAAAAATAAATAGGACTGGAAACGTTCCCCTGCATTCAGTTCCCAGGACCACAAAGAAAAAAAAAAAAAAAAAAAACCTAGATGCATTGTATCTTCCTGCTGTTTTCTGAAGTGCACGATCCCAACTTAAAGGGCCAACAGGAAAGGGTATATGCCCATCTTTCAAGCACATTTAGCTCAAGTATACACACATTGTTTTTCCATAGGTGTACCAAGCTTACTTAATTCTTTTTAAAGCTTCATAGTATTCCTGTGTGTCTATTTAACCAAGTCTCTCAAAAATTACTGTCTAGTGAATATTTTTGCCATTACAATACTGCCACGAACAACCCTGTACATATTTTTACAACTGCAAATTTTTCTGCAGTATGAATTCTTAGTTTATTTTTTTAAAAAAGTTGGTACTGGAGATTGAACCCAGGGTACCACTGAGCAACATATATCCCTAGCCCTTTTTGTTTTTTATTTTGAGGTAGGGTCTCACCAAGTAGCTGAGGCTGGCCTCAAACTTTCAATCCTCCTGATTCAGCCTCCCAAGCCTCTGGGATTATAGGCGCGCACCACCACCCCCAGCTAGTTTATTGTTGAGTCAAAAACATGCTCAAGTTTTGCCACATTACCTTCCACGATGGTTGAACCTGATGTACTTAGGAACAGATGGGGTTTGAAAACGCGGACCTGGGATGGTTTCGGCCTCCGAGCAGCAGGTGGCACTGCGCGCGAGCCTCGACAAAAGGGGCAGAGGCCGCGCTGACCGACTTCCGGTGGCGGAGTCGGCGCAGGCGCGGCGCAGCTGTCGCGGGGCCGGCTGGACGCGGGGCGCAATGCCGTACGCCAACCAGCCCACGGTGCGGATCACGGAACTCACCGACGAGAACGTCAAGTTCATCATTGAGAACACGGACCTGGCGTAAGGCCGCGGAGGGGCGAGGCYGGCGGCTCTGGAGCGGGGGGAGGGAGGGACCTTCCCGAGCCGCCCGGTGCCAGGGTTGCGCTGGGGAGCCTGCGCGCGGGGCGGCCTGTCGCGGCAGCGCCACCCTCACGCCGCCGCTCGGGGTTTTCTCCTTCAGAGTGGCCAATTCCATTCGGAGGGTCTTCATCGCCGAGGTGCCCATAATAGGTAAGCGACCCCCTGGTTGCCAGAACCGCCATTCCCGCCCCCATTCCCTCCGCCCACCTGGGGCTCCTGCCTCCAGTCCTCGGGTGGGGCTGGCATTGGGGGTGCTGAGAAGACGGCAGTGCTGGAGACTTGATCAGGCCCTGTGCCCTTGATCCCGTGGTCACTGCTGGCCTTCCTGGCTCCCTCGGGCCAGTTAGGTCCACCCTTACCCTGTGGGTGAGGAGCGTAGGCCGGCTTGGGTTCCAGTACTGTTTTCACTTGCCGTCTGTGCAAACCAGAGAAGGTAAGAGGGCAAGTTATTCAGCTTCCGCATGCTGCAGGTAGTCCTCATCTGCAACGTTCAGACACTCTACGCCTTACTGGCTTCTAGCAAGGATTAAGTGAGGTCATCTGTAAGTGCTTTGCGATCGCTGAGCCTTTTCTAATGATCTGTTCTTCCGCTGCATATATAGAGCATGTAAGAGCCAGGCATGGTGCCAAGCACTGGAGGTGCAGGGCTGTGTGGAACAGCGTTTCAGCCTTCTTGGAGCTCACAGTGAAGTTGCAGGGGGAAAAAAACGAATCCTTACACAACATTGGTGTAAGGTAGACTGTGGTCAGGACAAGAGAAGCATAGCCACAGTGAAGCTGGCACTTAGTGGAGGGAAAACTTGTCTCTGGTTGGGATCCAGCCACTCTGCTGCAAGTGTTTTATACACTGACCATGCGTATGTAAAATTCAACAAGTAGATTCTAAGTGTCGGCTCAAAGAAAATGGGCCCCAAAACAGGAAATATAGCTGCTGTTTCAAGTGTTCATGCTTTTAAAGAAATAAACAGATCAGATGATTATAGAACAAGAACATTTTTAGTTCATCCACATCACCACTCCCAGTCAAGTTTATCAGCTCAGCCTGGACTGCTGGTCCTCCCCCTGCCTAATCCCTGCAGCCTCTGGGTATGTTTCATCCTGAGCAAAGAGAGTTGTACTTCATGATGTACTTCTGGGTCTAAATGCTGCTTTTCCCACAAATTTGGTTTTACGAATGACATTGAGCACCCACACTAGAAATGCAAAGGATCTCAAGACCCTGCCTTGGGCATTTTCAAAGGTTGAAGTAGAGATAAGACATGCACATGTCACAAGGCAACATGTGAGAGGTGACTTAAGGGAGCTCTGGTGGTTTGTGAAAGCAGTTCAAAGGGAGCAATTGATCATAGCTGTAATAGGAAGAGCAGAGAATTCTTGGTTTTTAGGCCAGGATTTTAACCTGTATGGAGGTGGGGGGGCAGTAGAGGTAAAGACATTTCAGGGAATGGAGATGGGAGAGTAAAGAAGCAGAAAAGCTTGGGTCATGGTCCTTGCTTGGGTTGAGGAAGTGTAGCAGGACAAAGCAGGTATCTGGTCCTCTTCTGACCTCTGTTACTAGTGTCTGTGCCCTAGTAACAGTTGGGTTGCAATGCTGTTTTACTTCTTGACTTAATCATGTGCAGATGTATATGTGAGGACAGTTGTGTTTAAGTCAAGCTTATTTGAGAGTACAGTCCTTCCTCATCCACCTCATTGTTGATAGGACTGTGCCTTACCCACTGAAGAAATTCAGTAAACATTTATCCATTGAAAGATAGTGAAGTTCTAAATTGGGTGATCTGGTCATTGTATCATAAAATAACATATGACCATAAGTCTGTTATTTCTGTGAAATTTTCCACATTTTAAAAAAATATTTTCAGTTGTAGATGGACACAATGCCTTTATTTTTATGTGGTGCTGAGTATCGAACCCAGTGCCTCACATGTGTGAGGCAAGCGTTTTACCACTGATCCACAACCCCAGTCCATTTTCCATAATTTTTAAGTGCCCCAATAGTTTTTGGATTTGGTGTTGGCATAGGTTGGCTTCTCACAGAAATATTCAGCTCAATGATATGTTCCCATTCCTTTTATATTCTTTAGGTGAGTGTCAACCCCCTGCATTATCACCTGGGCAGGGAGGTGGAGTATGGGGTGTGTAGTTTTTGTTAAAATCCAGATTCCTAGGCTCTGGTGCTGTGGAATCAGCCTCTGGCAGCCTGGCTCAGGAGTCTGCAATTTAGAAGCATCAGGTGATTTCTGAATCTTGAGCACACTTGTTTGAATCTCTGATGAAGTTGGTGACTTAACTACTCTTCATTTTTTTTTAGCTATTGACTGGGTTCAGATTGATGCCAATTCTTCAGTCCTTCATGATGAATTCATTGCTCACAGGCTTGGTGAGTGCTGGTGTTGGGAGAGTGAGGGGAGAGTACTATGCCTGGTGTCATAGGAGGAGCCCCTCAAGGGGAATTTAGGTTCTTGGGTTGGCGTTCCTGTTGGGTGTTTTTTTGTTTGTTTGTTTGTTTTCCCCAGAACTGGGGATTGAATTAGGGGGCTCKGTACCACTGAGCATACATTGCCCAGCCCTTTTCTGTTTTTTTATTTTGAGACAGGGTCTTGCTAAGTTGCCCAGCTGGTCTATAACTTGTGATCCTCCTGCCTCAGGCTCCTGAGTAGCTGGGCTATAGGAGTGTGCTACCATGTCCAGCTGTTGGGTCTTGTTTAAAGTGCTTTCTGTGTCTTACAGGACTAATTCCCCTCACTAGTGATGACATTGTGGACAAGCTGCAGTACTCCCGGGTAAGTGTGTAATGGGTTGACTGTGGAGGAGGGGAGAAGCTTCAGCTCTCTGAGGGATCTTTTCTGACCTCTTGCTTTTAGGTTGATATTTTAGAAAGACATGTGAAAATGTCGTCTAAAGCCTGAAGTACATCCAGGTTCTTGGTTCTGATGGAACTCAGATTGATGAGAGGTACCCAGGGCATGAGGTGTCTTGTTAGCCACACAAGAGGGCGCATCCATCGGAATGTCCATTTATGCTGAACAGTGGGTTCCTTCCTTCCTCCTTTCCTTCCAAAGTGTGTCTTCCCAGGGTGGAGGCCTGGCAGCCTAAAGGGAGGCAGCAGAAGGTTGTGGTGAAGATAAGGAGTACAGAGGGAGTGGGAGCTGCCCAGAAGAATAGCACCCGAGGCACTCACATAACTAACTGGTGCCTGCCAGATCCATGCCTCTTCCTGTAGGTGATGCTGGTTAACATGGCCAGGGTAGGATCCCTGGCTCCAGGGTCAGGTTTGTTCTTTGATGATTTTATCAGGAAAAAGTGGGAGATTAGGTTTCCTCCATGTTTTTATAGGGCTGCATTAGATAACAGTCTGAGTATGCTTTCTTGGTGGCTTTGGTGATCCTTGAATCAGCTCATTCTCTGTTTCCAAGGGCATGTGTTTGTGTTTTTGTTTTTGTTTTATTGTGTTTTTTTTTTTTGGGGGGGGGGTTCTTGGTTTTTTTTGTTGTAGTTAATTTGATACATCTTATAACATAATTTTTTTTTGAGAGAGAGAATTTCAATGTTTATTTTTCAGTTTTCGGAGGACACAACATCTTTGTTTGTATGTGGTGCTGAGGATCGAACCCAGGCCACACGCATGCCAGGCGAGCGCACTACCACTTGAGCCACATCCCCAGCCCCTAACATAATCTTTTTTTTAAGAGGAATATTGAAGCACACAGAAAAATATGAAGCTAATAACGTAGTGCACTTAACAACTTGCTTTTGTGTGTGTGTGTGACAGAGAGAGACAGACAGACAGACAAACTGGACACTGACCCCAGTGGCTCCCACGTGGTAAGCAAGGGCCATCCCTAGCCAAGACTTTTGTTGTTGTTTTGTTTTGTTGGAACTGCAAATTGAACCCAGGGGCACTTGACCACTGAGCCACATCCCCAGACTTTTTTATTTTTTATTTTGAGACAAGGTCTCGCTAAGTTGCTTAGGCTCTCACTAAATTGCTGAGGCTGACCTCAAACTTGGGATCCTTCTACCTCAGCCTCCCAAGTCACTGGGATTATAGGGGTGCATCACCATGGCCTGGCAAGACTTGTTTTTAAGAAATAAAACATGGATGTTGGTGGAGATAGTTGTACCACATTACAAATAATTTGGCAATGTCTTGCATAAAGATATGCATGTCCTATGGCCTAGCAATTCCTTCCATTAAATTTTCTTCCAGTATTATATTTATTGAACAAAGATGGTATGGGTTTTTTTCAGCTCATCTTTTTCTAAAAATCTACAGAAAATTTTGGGAAAAATATTAAACATTCTTTTATGTTTTCTCTGTAGTTATCAGTTGTTAATAGTTTACTACAATCACTTATTTTCATATCTGGTGGGTTTTTTTTTATGAACTATTGGAAAGTAAGTTACAGACATCTGATCCATATCACCTAAATACTTTTCAGATACTACTTCTTTTTTTTTTTTTTTTTGGTGGTGCTGGGGATTGAACCCAGGGCCTTGTACATGTGAGGCAAGCACTCTACCAACTGAGCTATGTCCCCAGCCCCTTCAGACACTTTTTCTAAGAATGGTATTTTCTTATATAATTACCCTATTATTGTGCCCAAGAAAATTAGTATTAGTTATATATATAATATTTATATAAAGTATATATTCATATTTTTCTAGCTATCCCCAAGATATTCTTTACTGTTTGTATGTATATGTGGGTTGTGACATTGTCAAGATTTACTTGGGGGGGCAGGGGATGTGGCTCAAGTGGTAGCGCGCTCACCTGGCATGCGTGCAGCCCGGGTTCGATCCTCAGCACCACATACAAACAAAGATGTTGTGTCCGCCAAAAACTAAAAAATAAACATTAAAAAATTTCTCTCACTCTTTCAAAAAAAAAAAAAAGATTTACTTGGGGGCTGGGGTTGTGGCTCAGTGGTGGAGTGCTCACCTAGCATGTGTGAGGCACTGGGTTCGATCCTCAGCACCACATAAAAATAAAATAAAGATATTGTGTCTACCCAAAATGAAAAAATATATACATAAAAAAGATTTACTTGGTTGGTAGAGCTTTTTAGTCTTTGCATTTGGTTATCTTAGCTCTATGGTCTTTTTAGTATACTTTTTGGTATACTTTTTATTTTTCAGGTTGAGTTTCTTTTCATATTTTATCTTCCTGAATATATTTTGATTCTTCCCTTTCACATCTTTAAGAAGGATCCAGTCCAAAGGCCTGAGTTGCCTTCCTGCCCCATCTGTATACGACTGCAGAGTACCTAGATGGGAGCCCTAATTATTTCTTCTTCCTCATCATCTTGCAACATCAAAGTGTGTTGGGGTTTTTCTCACTGATGTGAGAGAGAGAATGGTTTTTGTGATTGTGTTCTCCTGAGTTTCTTCTTGCCCAGAGTTAAATTGCTGCAGGAAGTCCCTAACATAGGAATAGGTGGTTTCAAGAGTGACTTATTTAAAGAGTGGCAAAATATTGCTGAGCACAGTGGCATATGCCTGAAATCCCAGTGGCTCAGGAGGCTGAGGCAGGAGGATTGTGAGTTCAGAGCCAGCCTCAGCAAAAGTAAGGTGCTAAGCAACCCAGTGAGACCCTGTCTCTAARTAAAATACAAAATAGGGCCGAGGATGTGGCTCAGTAGTCGAGTGCCCCTGAGCTCAATCCCTGGTACCAAAAAAAAAAAAAAAGTGTCAAAATATTGACATTTACAGGAACTGAGTGATAGTTACCTGACATCAGTTTATTTTACTCAACCTCTCTTTTTTGTGTATGCATGAAATGTCATGAGATTCTTTAAAAATAGGTCAGTAGCTAAAACTTGAAAAGTGCTTTTTTCTTTTCTTCTTTGGCTTGTTATATTTTAAATGGTTTCATTCCCAAGCTGGTCTTCCTAGTCCGTGGCAAGCTGAACCACTGCGCATGGAGCATCCTTTCCCTAACAGCCTTAGTCCTCGGAGGAAGGTACTCAGGCCAGAGGACGGTTAGCAGTTTGTGTCCCTGTGGTGCCTGGCAGCGTGGGTGCGGAGGAAGCTGGTGTCAGTGTGCATGGGTTGGCTGGAAAGTTGAGCAGCGGAGTGGAGTAGCAGATTGTCACAGCCCAGAAAGCCTGGAGACTGGTCAACCCATTGTTTTTAGATGAAGAAATTTAAAGGCAGTGGATATTAGAAGCAGGGAGTCTGGTGGGGTTCACTGGCTCACCACACACGTATTCCTCCTTCTCTTCCTACCTCAGGACTGCACGTGTGAGGAATTCTGCCCTGAGTGCTCTGTGGAGTTCACCCTGGACGTCAGGTGCAATGAAGACCAGACGCGGCACGTCACATCCCGAGATCTCATCTCCAACAGCCCCCGGGTCATTCCGGTCAGTGCCTGAGCCCATCCTCCCTCCCCAGGGTTTTGTTCTTGTGGTGGCTCCACATGGGCCAGGTTGGAGTGGATCCTAGTGAGTCATTGACCTTCCTGTGCCGTGTCTTGTTTAACCTGACGCCTGGAAGTGCTGATTCTGGATTCTTAGGCAGAACAGGATAGGTGCCTTGTGCCCTGTCTCCTGAGGAACCTGTAAAGGCCATGGGATTATTTTGACTAAACAGTATCACAGGAGCATAAACTGGAGTGGAATCCCTGGGGGCACCTCTGCCACCACTTTCTCAGGTGTCATTTCCCTGCTTGACAGATTGTAGGCTGGAGGTGCTGGGAGATGGCTGCCAGAGGGGCACCTGGCGGGGGACAGGCTAATAGATGCTTCTGTTTGGGCTCCAACGCAGGTGACATCCCGGAACCGAGATAATGACCCCAACGACTACGTGGAGCAGGATGGTAAGGGGCTGGAGGAGTGTGCAAACATTTTCCTGAGCTGTCACCACATGGGCCAGAGGGGCAGGCCAGACGCAGCCTCTCGTGCCGCCAGGTCTCCTTGTGACTTGGTTCTGTTTTTTCTGTGTGTGTGTGTGTGTGTGTTGTGTTCTGATCGCACTCCAGGCCAAATTTACCTCTCCTGGTCCTTGACTGACTCACATGTCTCCTTGCAGACATCCTCATCGTCAAGCTGAGAAAGGGCCAGGAGCTGAGGCTTCGAGCCTATGCCAAAAAGGGCTTTGGCAAGGAACATGCCAAGTGGAACCCCACTGCAGGGGTGGCTTTTGAATATGATCCCGACAATGCCCTGAGGCACACAGTGTACCCCAAGCCTGAGGAATGG